GTGGGTGCCTATAGTCCCAGCTACTTGGGATGCTAAGGCAAGAGAATCACCTAAGCCCAAGAGCTGGAGGTTGCTGTGAACTGTGACATCACAGCACTCTACTGAGGGCGACAAAATGAGACTCTGTCTCTTAAAAAAAAAAAAACACCACCAAGGAAGATCCAAACTGACAAAAGCCAAACTACTCTTGAAAATCTCTCTACCCACACTTAGGCAATTCTACTGCCAGGGACACAACAAAGTTCAGTTATCATGACTACAGATTAGAGACAGTGGATACTGTTAGCATCTAGTGGGTAGAGGCCAAGGAGACTGATCTAAGTTCTACAATGCAGGGTAGACACCCACTGTAGAGAATTACCTGATCCCCAATGACCTACAAGGTCTACAGTGCTGAGGTTGAGAAACCCTGGGCTAGGCGATCACTCACTGATAGGCAGGGTTAGTCTAGCAGGGCCATCGCCAAGTGGGATAAGGGTACCTGCACTATTTAGACTCTCGTTTTTGCAAAGCACTTAAACTGAGTCTAGAGCAAAGCCCACTGTAGTACAGACAGCTACCACTGAGTGTCTAACACTGAGGGTGGAGACAGATGCTAAATAATTCATGCGCATTAACTTCGCTAATGCTCACGGCCACCATGAGAGGTATAGTTATCAACAGTCCCAATTAATTGGTGAGGAAAATGAGGCTCAAAGAGGCTAAGGAATTTGCCCAAAATGACTCATAAACAGTAGAATAAAAAACACAAGCCCAAATGTCTGTGTCCCCATCATCAAAACCAGTGCATCTTTACCTGGGTTAATGCTATATCCCTACTCTCCACCCTCAGGTAGCTATGTCTGTCTGGAGACAATTTTGGTTATCATGACCCCTGGGGTGGGGGGAGGGTGTGTGCTAATGGCATCTAGTGAGCAGTTTCAAGGATGCCACTGTGCTGCCAAACATCCTACAACACAGAACAGAAAACTATCCAGTTCAAAATGTTAACTGTGCCAAAGTTGAAAACCCTCCTTCATACAGGCCAGCAAAGAATTTATGTTATTGTTTAATGCTGGGTAAACTCAAATATATCTTACACACATTATTCCTATTCTTCCCTACCTTTACCAGGTACAAAACTCTGCCTTCAAATCATGTCAACTATGATGCACAACAACTCTAGAGAGTTTGGGAGGTATCAATAGTCAAATGCCAAACACAGGAGACTATCCCTAGACAGTTTAAAACACACACATATACTCTTCTAGGACAGAAGCATTCCAACTAGACTTTAACAGATCAGGACTATCAAGAAAGGGCTGTGGGAGTTCCTATCACCATCCATGAGTAGATCGCTATGGCAACAAGGGCCATGGCAATAGGATACTGTACTGGGCACACAACTAAAAACATTTCCTTGTACACAAGCACAGCATACCTAACTTTCATTACTCAAACTGATAGGCCTCAATTCTGGCTGCATATCAGAATTATCTGGGCTGCTAACTGTTCAAATGCCCAGGACTCAACCAACACCTCACAGAACTTGTAAGGAGTCGGGTCTGGCCATGTGTGGTTTTAAGAAAACTTCCCAGGTGATACTGATGCATAGCCAGGGAATATTAGGACAGTCACAGACACTAAGCTGGGACTGGCCCAGAGAAGACAGAGAGTGGAGGACATGATATGAGTATGGAACAACTTAGGATCCCAGTCCAGAAACAGAGAAGCCAAGAGGATATTTGACTGGAGTTTACACAGCAAGAGGAAAAGCACAACTATATGGCAGTCCCTAAAGCTTCAAAATATGTGGAGAAGGAAGTCCCCCTTTACATAGTAAGGAATTAAACATCTTAACAGACTGCACAAGCCAAACCAGAAATAGAATCTTCAAGAAACACACAGGGACTAATGAGAGGATCACATGGATATCTGAGGCACAAAGATCAAGTAAGACTGTCAGAGATACAATGCCAGGTGAGAGTAGCATTTATAAGAAAAAATCTGAAGTATAAAACACTCCATTTCTGTTTGGTACTTTTCAGTTCAACTATGCCATTGACAATGGACAGCTCATGTATACAGCTTAAGCTAGCAACAGTATCCCCTAGAAAACAGCAATCCATAATTTCCCCTGTGCTCAAATATATTCCCTTACAACAGAGTCCTCGCTGATGAATTCATTCATTCAAACAGTATTTCTTGGATTCTTCCTCTGGGCCAGGTACTGTTCTAGATGTAGGGGATCCATTACTGATCACAACAGACAAACTGGGCAAAGAAGTAAAACTTAGTATGTTAGACAGCAGCAGCAGGGTAAAGGGAATAAGGAATGTGGACATGACTTAAGATGGTGGCCAGAGAAGTTCTCAGTAATAAAGTAATGCATAAGAGAGAGTCATGAGGTTATCTGGGGGGAAATTGTTTCAGTCAGAGGAACCAGCAGGGAAAAAGGCTAAAAGGAGGAAATATATGGACCATTCAAGGAAAATTAAAGAGAGCCAGGACAGTTAGAGCTGAGCAAGTCAGGGAAAAAGTGGTGAGACAGGACAGGGAAGGTAGCAGGGGGCCGCTCTGGCTTCTGGGCTGAGAAGTTTTGAGATGGGTAAGGATAATGGGAAGGGGTCACCCTTTGGAAGCATTGTTATGGTAGAACTGACAATTTACTGTGGAGTATGAGAGAAACAGGGGAGTCAAGGGTGACCTGGAGGTTTTAGGCCTCAGCAACTAAAAGAATGGACTTGCCATTTACTACAGTGGGAGAAAGACTGAGAAGTGCAGGTTCTGCTGATGGTGGAGGAGGGTAAGAATTTTGTTTTGGATGGGCTGTTAGATGTGCCTATGAGGCACCCAGATGGAAATGTTAAATATGATGTTGCACATATAAGTCTTGTGTTTAAAAAACTATATGGGGGTGGCACCTGTGGCTCAGTGGGCAGGGCGCCGGCCCTATATACCAAGGGTGGCGGGTTTGAATCTGGTCCCAGCCAAATTGCAACAAAAAAAATAGCTGGGCGTTGTGGCAGTCATCTGTAGTCCCAGCTACTCAGAAGGCTGGGGCAAAAGAATTGCCTAAGCCCAGGAATTGGAGGTTGCTGTGAGCTGTGACGCCACAGTACTCTACCA